ACATTCATTACCAGACTTCTGTTCACCTCTTTTGCTCACTTCGAAGCTGTTAGGTCTTTATGTAAGATGTTATATATGTACTGATCGAAATGTACTGAACTTTTATTTAGTATATATCCAAAACAAACGAAAACATATATTATATGTATATGAAGAACGAAAGAACAGAAAGTACCAATAGAGATCAAAGAAAGATGAGCGAGGATAGAGGATCACAAGAACATAGAGAATATGTATGTGTGCGACATCACCCTAACATACTCCCCTATTCGAAGAAAAATGTGTCCTATCCACATTTTTAATGCTGATTAAGAATGGAGATAAAGAAAGTAAAGAACAGGAAGAAAAGAAAACAAAATAACCGAATATAACGGTTCAGTTATTGAACCATATGAATCAAAAAAAAAATATAACGAAAAGAAACGAAAAGAATGAAATCCAAAAAAAACATATAGATTCAAAATAACAAAAACATATCGTGTTTTCACAAACATGTGAATAGACATGATATAAAGGTTAGACTAGATATATGAAATGAACAATAGACAATGGTTAGACTAGATATAAATGGATGTATATATATAAAAGAAAATGAACAATTATGTTCATATACGTTTATAATCATTTCATGTTCATTTGGTTCGATGTTGATGACGACGGTGTATATATCGATCATCTGTATAAGATGATCTATTTAATTGGTTATAATGTGCAGTTGTAAATAAGTATTTGATTTGTTGTTCATATTCTGATAATAAATGTTTATTTTTTATACCAATATATAGGTGTTTTCGATCTGGTCGTGATGATTTAGATGTATTAACACCACTAAATTCAATTGAACGTTGTCGAAGAATTTTTTTTATTTTTTTTATTGGAAAACGACGATCGATATTACGTATAATAATTTCATGTTGAAAATTTTTTTTTCGTTGTTTCTTTGTGCAAGTACGGTTGTGGATTCTTTTACGTTCTTCTTTACTTAATACATTAATTTGTTGATGATGATTATTTGAAAAATGATTTGAATTTAATTCTAATTTATTTGTTTGATCATTATTTGTTTCTTTGTTGGATGTTGATGTAGTTGATGTTACTTTAGTTGATTGTTGTATACCTGTTTCATTATTTGTCGGTGATGATTTATCATTAGAAATAAATGTATTCGTTTCATGTATAGATTGTTGTATTATAGGTAAATCATCTTCATCGGACATACATCGAACTTCAATATTTATATGATGGTTGTTTGATATTGTTGATGATATAGAAGTTGTAACAGTTCGTGTTGATGAATTATAATAATTTAATTGAATCAAATTTAAACTAATTAATATTCGTTGCATCGAAAGACAATCATCAGCAGCATACCTTGTTAATTGATGACGATGTTGTTGTTCACGTTCATTCATAGGAAAAAGATTTGTATCTAATCCAATATGAAATGATGATGTTGAATGTCTTTTATCTAACCATTCATGTAGTTGAAATGCAATAGCATCTTGAAGGCCCCAAGGATTTGATGGTGATATATTAATACATTCTTCACATAAACATTTATTTACTAATTCATTTGATAGTACATGTGGATGTGTTTGTTGCCATTCTTGTTTAAATATATCTTGTAAATTTTTTACATTTGGAAGATAACATTGTGTTTCAGAAAATAATGTATAAATTGTAAATGAAATTAATTCTTGAATTTTTCCCCAGATATATAAAATTAAGACGACCGATGAATTATGTGGTAAAAGAACTTGAATTTGAATCAAGACGGGTTTATTTTTACTTTTGTAAATATTGATTGATTCGGTGTCTAATGTAAAAAGATTTGATGTTGTTGCCATTTGTATGATTTGATTTAATATAACATCAGGTGTAATATGATTAATATGATAAATAAAATGAGGAAGTGGTTCAAATGGTGGATACATAGATGCATACTTGTGTTCCTTGAGTTTCTTCTTGAGCATTTGACGATAATTTTGTCGTGTTTGACCAGTAATAGATGATGGAACATTCTTGAGTTTCCATTTTGTGTCGACATATTCTTGTTGTGAAAGCATAACTATATAAAAAAATATGCAATAAGATATTATCGATTCACAAAGAAGGAATTTAGAGGTGGAAAAAAAAAATCGATTCTCAGGGAACATAGGAATCTATAACTTATATTGAAATTAAATTGTAAATGAGGAGCATCATCGCTATTAATATGTGAGGTACTGTTGCATCAAGTTTTCATGTCAATAATATATATATATAAGTTAAAATGAAAAGAAAAAAAAAATATAAAAAAAATATAATAATAATAATAATAATTATAGTTATAATTCATTGTAGGTTTAATATCTCATGAAACTAAGTACAAAATAATAATTCTTTTTTCGATTCTCAGTGTCCGGAATAAGAATCTGATAAGAAAAATTGGATGTAAATATACCATAGGTAATTCCCGTATCATAGACTAAGTATATATTAAAAGAATATGTTCGAATGTATATAATAGCCCTTCATAACCAGTGAGCTGAGGAAAGTCATACTCCCCAATCATGCTATGCTAAATCATATTGCATTGAATTAATCTTGTAATATGTAACCGTTCCATAGGCTTGAGATATTAATTAAATAAACGGATCTCTTTTACAAGAGTTCCTCTAATTAATAGAGTCGTTCAACTATTGGAATTAACACGTCTGTGGTAACTTGACGATATAATGTCGTTTTCTTGACGTGCTGTACAATAAAGGTTTTTGTTGTAAGTTTTTTAATAATTCTAAAGGGTCCTTCATAACGAATATCAAATTTGTGACGTATATTGAGTGTTTTAACTAGAACCAAATCGTTAATATTGTATAATGGATCAGAACGGTTTATATCATAGTGCTGTTTGTATCGTTCTTGATTTTTTATGATATTAAGTTTTGCTTGTTCATTTAATTTTGATAAGAATTGATTAAGTTTTTTAACATGTTCTGAATCATGTGTAAGTGTAACATTTGGATCTTGATAATCGAATGGTAAAACAGGTAATCGACCAAACATCATTTCGAATGGTATTTGTTTTGTTGATGAATGAATTGAAGCATTATAATTAAACGTAACAAATGGTAATTGATCATCCCAATCGGTTTTACGTAAATTTGATAATGCTGCAATTTTTGCATCCATTGTTGAATTGTATCTTTCAACTTGACCATTGGTTTGAGGATGATATGGTGTAGAATATAAATGTGTTGCTCCAATTTGTTTAATTAATTCATTCATAAATGTTGATGTAAAATGTGTTCCATTATCTGTAAGAATACAACGAGGTGTTCCGAATTTTGAAATAATATCTTCTTTAAGAAATCGTACAGCTGTTTGAGTTGTATTATCACGTACAGCTTTTGTAACGACGAATTTTGATAAAACATCAGTAAGAGATATAATATATTTATTTCCCCGTTGTGATGTTGGAGTAATAGGTCCATGAAAGTCCATTGACACTAATTGCCATACTCCATCAGGAGGTTTAATTGGTCGTAAAGTACCAGGAGTTTTTTGACGACGAGGATTAAATTGTGCACATGGAATACAAGATTTAATATAATTTTCAACATCTTTATACATAGATGGCCAAAAGTAACGTTGTTTAATTTTATATAAAGTTTTATTTCTTCCGAAATGAGCACCATTGGCTGCTGTATCATGATATATTTGTAAAATTGTTCGTCGAAAATCACCTTGTGGTACATATGGAACTGGAGTTTTAGATCGACG